CAAAAGAACAGCAGTGAGTTGAAACAATTAACCGAATTGAGTTGGGCCAATTAACCGTAAGCAGTATAGATTCGTGGCATTCATGAGCGGCGGCTCCACACAACCACCTCCTCTGACAGCATTCGGCGCACTGACCACGCGACACTTGCCGCACAAATACTGTATATGCGCGTCAAGCTCGAGAGGTTTTGAAACACCCAAGTGTTTCAAACACCCGTTTGAAACCCCGTTCAAACACCCGTTTGTGAAACACCCGAGTGTTTCAAAATGGGGGGCCTTTTTCTCTCAGTGAATGCGGCATGATTAACATGGATGCACGCAATTTACGATCGATATGGCCGATGCCCAATGATCGATTCCAACGTTCACGCTTTACGAATGATGCGGCATGATTGACATGGATGCACGCATTTTACGATTGATGTGGCCGACGCACTCGCTTCGCAAACGATGCAGCATGATTGACATGGATGCGAACACATTTTACGATCTATATGGCTGATGCCCATGATCGATTCCGACGTTCACGATTCGCAAACGATGCGGCATGATTGACATGGATGCACTCATTTTACGACATGTGGCCGACGCTTTTGCTTCACAAATGATGCGGCATGATTGACATGGATGTACGCATTTTACGATTGATGTGGCCGACGCACTTGCTTCGCGAACGATGCAGCATGATTGACATGGATGCACGCATTTTACGATCTATATGGCTGATGCCCATGATTGATTCCGACGTTCACGATTCGCAAACGATGCGGCATGATTGACATTAGACCGTAGGCCTGTCGCCGATTCTTAACATCGCAGAACATTCACAGCATCTTGTGGTCTCGAACTCGCAACTCACTGCTACAATTCTGCTGTGCTTAACTGCCCGACCTCCTTGCCAATTCTGACCAGAGACTGGCGCACAGAGCTGGGATAGAACCAGCGCCAATCCTGGTACTCAGAACTTTAATCACTGGGCCACCCTGCCATAATCATGCTGCATCGTTCGCGAAGCATGAGCATCTCAATCATTGGGCATTGGTCACATCGATTGTAAAATTCGTGCATCCATGTCAATCAAGCCGCATCGTTCGCTAATCGTGAATGTCGTAATCGATTATGGGGTATTGGCCACTTTGATCGTAAAATGCGTGCACCCATGTCAATCATGCCGCATCGATCGCGAAGCGAGAGTCAACCACATTGATCGTAAAATGCGTGCATCCGGGTCGATCATGCCGCATAGTTTGTGAAGCTTGAGCATCAGAATCGATCATTGGGCATTGGTTACATCGACCGTAGAATGCTTGCATTCATGTCAATTATGCACATCATTCCCAAATCGTGAATATCTGAATTGATCATGAGGCATCGGCCACATCGATCGTAAAATGCGTGCATATATGTCAATCATGCCGCAGCAATCGCGAATCGTGAACGTCGGAATTGATCATGGGGCATCGGCCACATCGATCGTAAAATATGTGCATCCATGTCAATCATGCCGCATCGTTCGCGAAGCGTGAGCGTCGGAATCGATTATTGGGCATTGGACACATCAATCGTAGAATGCTTGCATTCATGTCAATCATGCCGCATCGTTCGCGAATCGTGAGCATCGGAATTTACCATTGGACATTGGCCACATCGATTGCAGAATGCTTGCATCCATGTCAATCTTGCCGCATCGTTCGCAAAGCACGAGCGTCAAAATCGATCATTGGGCATTGGCCACATC